ACGTGCCTTCCTCAGTGAGCTGAATCATTACTAGCTTTAATGTAAAGTGAGACATGTGACTCTTCATTTCACTTGAACACTTAGAGGCCACTGGAGGGTTATTAATTGACCTGATTTCAGTACTGTGTGTCAGGACATGGGGAGCCACCCAAGGAAAGGGAGAGAGATGGGGAACCGCCTGCTGGTGGCACAGTCAGAACACACCCATTAGTTGATTAATTTCCCCATCTTACATGGACATGGTGCGCGGCACCTCAAAACAGTTACAGTAGCAGCATCAAAGGTCGCTGATCACAGATCACCATAACTAATACAATAATAATGAAAAGGTTTAAGGTATTACAAGAATTACCAAAATGTGACACAGACAGATGTGAGTAGATGCTGTTGGAGAATGGCGCCAGTACACTTGCTCGAAGCAGGGTAGCCCCAGACCTTCAGTGTGTAAAATGCAGTATCTGCAAAGCACTGTGAAGCAGAGCGTGCCTGTAAACAGTTTTCTTTATGACAGAACTCTCAGAAGCTTCCCTCTGCCACTCTCTGTTGTAAATCTCTGAGAACGACTAGACCATTTCCTAAGTTGACTTGACTACGGGCCATTTGTTATCTCTTGTTGCGATGCGCCCGTCGGTGTCTCAGCTGATGTGTGGCAACTTGCAGCACAGTTAAGTGATGCTCCAGAGCCCGCTCTAGCCTGTTTGGACCCCCCACAGGCCTCCCTTTTGTGCATTTTTCTTGCTGTTCTTTCCTCTCCCCAACTGGCGTCCCTGACGCTTTGCGGACTCAGCTTGGGCCTGACCTCCTCTGGGATGCTGCCCTCTCTCAGCACGTGCCCTGCAGCACTCTGCATGCTTTGTGGGAAGGCACAGGTCACTTTTATAACTGTCAGCTTAAATGTCATTGTTCTTTACTGGACTTTAATAAGAGCTGAACTTTGGGGAGTACCTACTGTGGGATAGGTTCTATACTGAGCATTTTATTTTTTTTAAACATACCCTCGGCAATAATGTATAAGTTTTTAAAACTAAAATAACCATTTATTTTAGCATATGTTCATGGTAGAAATGTTAGAATGTACAGATCAAGAAAAATAAGGAAATAAATATACTTTACCCGCAAAGATTGCCTCTCAATATTCTATTCCATATTGGGGCGCCTGGGTGGCTCAGCGGGTTGAGCTTCTGACTTTGGCTCAGGTCATGATCTCACAGTTTATGACTTTGAGCTCCGCATCAGCCTCTTTGCTGACAGCTTTGAGCCTGGAGCCTGCTTTGGATTCTGTGTCTTTGTGGATTCTCTCTTTCTGCCCCTCTCCTGCTCATGCTCTGTCTCTCTCTCAAAAATAAACATTTAAAAAAATATATCTTTCTAGATTGTTATTTAAAGTCTTTGTGTTTATTTTGAGGGAGGAGGGAGGAACAGAGAGGGAGGGAGGGAAATAGAATCCCAAACAGACTCCACACCCAGCTCAGAGCCTGGTATAGGGCTCAATCTCATAAACTGCAAAATCACAACCTGAGCTGAAGTCAGATGCTTAACCGACTGAGCCACTCAGTTTTATATCTGCTTTTTTGTTAACAGTCTTCAGCTTTCCATGTCAATAAGTTTTCATTTTATCTTATACCTAGTTCGTACTGAGATTTCCCCATTTGTTCTAAACATGTCTTTTACATGTGATTTGTTTGAACCAGAGTATAATCCTGGACTAAACCGTGCATCTGGTTCTTATGTACCTTATGTAATATCTGCTAACCTAGCACAGCTCCCTCCTTTTTAAATTTTTCTTAACAGCTTTATGGAAGTATCATTTACATACCATAAAATCCACCCATTTTAAGTGTACAAGTCAACACTTGTTGACTCGATTTTTAGTAAATTTCAAGTTTTACAACACCACAATTAAATTTTAGAGCATTTTAACCACCCCAGAGTTACTCCTTATGCCCATTTGCAGTCAGTCCCCAGCCTTCTCCTAGCCTAGGGAACCACTTACCTACTTATTGTCCCTATGGATTTGCACCCCCCACCTTTTTTAAAAATTAAGCTCTGTACCCAAGATGAGGCTTGAACTCATGACCCCAGGATCAAGAGTCACATGCTCTGTTGGGGTGCCTGGGTGGCTCAGTTGGTTAAGCATCCAACTTCAGCTCAGGTCATGATCTCAAGGTTCATGGGTTTGAGCCCCGCGTCGGGCGCTGTGCTGACACACAGCCTAGAGCCTGTCTTGCTCTCTCTCTGCCCCTCCTCCACTTGTGTGTGCATGCTCTCTCTCAAAAATAAATGTTAAAAAAATTTTTTTTTAATTAAAGAGGTCATATGCTCTATCAGACTGAGCCAGCAGGCACCTCTGCCCCTTTTCTTGACATTTTGCATAAGTAGAATCATATAACATGTGGTCTTTTGTGTTCGGGTTATTTAACTTACCCTAATGTGTTTGAGGGTCACCCATGTTGTAGCATGCATCAGTACTTCATTCCTTTTTATTGCCAAATAATTCCCATTGTGTGGATGTATAACATTTTGCTTATCCATTTACCAGTTGATGGAACTGTAAAAGTGTACACTTTTGGTCATTATGAATGATGCTTATATGAACATTCATGTACAAGTATTTGTGTGAACATATATTTTTATTTTTCTTGTGTAAACAGCCAAGAGTGGAATTATTGAGTCACATGGTAAATTTAAGTTTTACAAAACCCATCAAACTGTTTTTCCAGACTCAGGTTCTCCCTACTCCTTCCATGACACTCACTTGTTAAAGAACCCTGGCCCACATACCGCCTCTTCTTTTGTATTTATCTGATGGCTTTCTTGTGATGGCTTTTAGCTTGTTCTCAGTTCCCTGCATTTCCTACACACTGGAAGTTAGATCTGGAGTTGTATTGGATTCAAGTTAAATTTTTTTTGGCTAGAATGTATCACAGGCTGTGTTTTCTACTCAATTCATACTGGGTCACATGGGCAGACACCTAATATTTCAGTTTCATTTTGCTCCGTGTAGATACTGGGTCCAGCATTATTTGTTGAAAAGACCATTCTTCCCCCGCTGAATTATCCAGACACATTAATCAGAAGCCAATTGATCATGTGTGTGTGACTCTGTACAGGCTCTTTAAAGAGCTCCCCTCAGCCTCCTTGAACCTCCAATCTGTTCAGCTCAGCAAGACTGCTGTGCTCTACTTGGGGCTCACCTCCTTGCACCAAGGCCCAGGGGTGCCTCTCAGCAGGAAGCCAGGCCGAACATGGGCTTACGTCCCTTGTTTCCTTGATCTCAGGGACCAGTCTTGTGTTCACTTTTGTCCCTGTCTCAGAGCAGTTGTTGCCTATATTTTGATCTGCTTTCTAGTGTTTTTTATTTATTTATTATTTATTTTATATATATATATATTTATTTATTTCTAGGAGAGAGAGAGACAGCATGAGCAGGGGAGGGTGAGAGAGAGAGGGAGACACAGACTCTGAAATAGGCTCCAGGCTCTGAGCTGGCAGTCAGCACAGCCCGACGCGGGGCTTGAACCCACAAACCGGGAGATCATGACCTAAGCGAAAGTCGGACGCTTAACCGACTGAGCCACCCAGGCGCCCCTCTGGTGTTTTTTAAATTGGAGGGCAAGTCCCTTACTCCTTCATAGCTAGAGGCAAAAATCTGTTTTCTTTCTTTCTTCCGCTCTCTGCTTCAATTTGAATAGTTGCTATTGCTCTGTCTTCGGGTCTTATGAAATGTTCCTTTGTACTCTCTAATTTCCAGTAAGTTCATGCAGTGTAATTTGCATTTCAGATATTGTAGTTTTCACTTCCAGAAGTTCCATTTAGTTCTTTTTTATGTCTTCCATTTCTCTTCATACTCGGCATAATTGAACATATTTATGATCGTTGTTTATAAAGTCCCTGTCTACTGATTCCATCATTTGTCATTCCTGTTATTGACTTATTTTTCTCCTTGGTTATGGATCACGTTTGTCTGCTTTTTGGCATATCTAGTAATTTTTTATTGGATGCCATTTTGAGTGTTTTTGAGCATTTGGATTTTATAGTCTTCCTTCAAAGACTGTTAAAGTAGGTTTTGTCTGATAATTATTTGCTGTCAGCTTGATCCTTTTGAAGCTTGTTTTTAAGCTTTTAATAGAGTGGGTCTGCAATACTTGTGGCCACCTGGGTGGCTCCAGTTATGATCTCATGGTCCTGCATCAGGCTCTGTGCTGACAGCTCAGAGTCTGGAGCCTGCTTCGGATTCTATGTCTCCCTCTCTCTCTGGCCCTCCCTCACTCACACTCTGCCTCTCTCCCTCAAAAATAAATAATAAACATTAAATTTTTAAAAAATATTTTTTACTTTACGACTCTTTTATTACCAAGGCCTGATCCCTTTCGGGCCTCTCTGCTGTTTGCTGAGTATTCAGCCAGGTCTCTCTACTCTGGCCGGATGCAATTAGAATGCTTCCCAGTTATTTCTTCAGGACCAGAATTAGACATCTCAGTGGAACACCTATGTGTGTTGTGGTGCTACACGCTCTTACTTGACCCTTGCCACAACCCAGTAACATAAGAAGTGTAATTTTCATTTTATAGATGGAAGTAGTGAGGCATAGGGGACTTGGTTTTGCGGCTTGCTCCTAGGTGGCAGGGCTGGATCCAGGCCCAGGTCTTCCAATTCCGTTACAACCATACCCTTTAAGTCCCATGAGAACAGAGAGAACAGTTTTTCAGAGTATTTTCTCAGTTCTGAGGCTCACATTTACATATGCAACACCTCAAATCGAGAGGGTTATCTGAAAACAAATTTATGGGATCATTTTCCTTCCAGAAATCTTGTTGAATTAGTTGTGCGTCCGAAATCACCATTCTAGAATCCAGGAAATATGGACATCTCTGGTGCTAATAGAGCCTTGGTACATAATACATGCATAATCAGCATTTGGATGCTGGGCTAAAGAATTGGGGATCTTAGAGTTGTAGAAAGCTGCTAAAAGTTGCTCGCCTCTGCTTTTGTCTCCGCAGGTACTTTATGCATGGCGTGTGTCGGGAAGGAAGTCAGTGCCTGTTCTCACATGACCTGGCGAACAGCAAGCCGTCCACCATCTGCAAGTACTACCAGAAGGGCTACTGCGCCTACGGGACTCGTTGCAGGCAAGGGCCCCATACTTACTCCTTGCTCTTCTCCCAGGTTAAATACTGTCAGGGCCTCAGATCCTCCATCTGGAGCATGGGTATTGATGACGGGAAACATTTAATTTGAAAGTAATATGACAACAAAAAGTATGGCAGATCGTTTTGAAATCCCAACTTTATTACCATAAAAACAATTGTAATTTTTCAAAATCACTTTTCAGGCCTTATTCTTATGGGGCTCTGGTTATAAAACTGCACCCACAGTATGTATCTCTTGCTTTTTCCCCCCACTTAACACGTGTCAAGTTTTCCCCTAAGCTGCTCCTTTATTTCCTAAATGTAACTAACTCTATGTTTCATAATGTTAACATACCATCATGTTATTCACGATTCCTCTCTTAGATATTTAAGGGGTTGACTGTTTTGGGGTTTTTTCTTTTTGTCCTTTTGCTGTGAGTGCCCCTGCGGTGAACACGTGTGTGCATAGAGTCTGCCTTTTCTCCACAACATCTGTAGGCAAGTTTTGTGAATTCTGAACAGAAAAACATTCCAGAAACCAGTTCAGGTGCTCGGTGAAGAGCTGATCTGTTGTTTCCTGTGCTGCCCGGTAGGTGGTGGAGGTTGTCCCTCCCCCACCAGCGGGCGCCCCAGAGAGACAGCCCGGGAACGTCCCGTCCGGCTGTTGCGTTGGCCGTCATTATCACTTTGGGGACACCTGCTGAAAGAACGCGGCTTGGGTCTCAGAAGATTTCAGTTCAACAACTGGCTGGACTTTTTGGGATTTCTGGTGTGGCGTGGGTTATTTCGTTTGTCCGACTCCCATCCCCTAAGGCCGCGTTAAGTGTAGGTGATAGACGGCGATGTACCGCTCAGTCTGAATTGTCAGGCATTTATTAATTGATAAGCTTTTTATCACTTTTTAAAGTTTTTTTTAGGTTTATTTTTTTATTTTTGAGAGAGAGAGAGAGCACGAACAGGTGGGGGAGAGGGAGGCAGAGAGAGATGGGGAAGGAGAATCCCAAGGAGGCTCCGTGCTGTGAGCACAGAGCCCGATGCAAGGCTCGATCTCACAAGCCGTGAGATCATGACCTGAGCCAAAATCCTGAGTCGGATGCTTAACTGACTGAGCCCCCCAGGCACCCCAAGCCTTTTATCATTTAAAATACGGGAAATGATTGTCCCATTCTCCACCTCCACAAATGGAGAAGAAAGTGTGTTCCGTGTGCAGGTAGTTGTGTCCCTAACGTGTTTGCTGTGTGTTTTGTTTAGATACGATCACACGAGGCCTTCTGCTGCAGCTGGTGGTGCTGTGGGCACCATGCCGCATGGCGTGCCCTCCCCGGCTTTCCACAGTCCTCACCCTGCTTCCGACCTCACTGCATCTATTGTGAAAACTAACTTACACGAGCCTGGGAAACGCGAAAAGAGAACACTGGTACTTCGAGACCGAAGTGAGTGAGCGAGTGAAAAGCGGTCTTGCTCGTTCGTGACTTTCCGGCCCTCTCTTGTCAGAGGGCTCCTAGCCTGGTACCTTCCAAGCTGTTCGAGGGCGGATCCCAGCACCGTCCTGAGATCAGATTCATTTGGCTGCTGATCACTCAGGCGATGCACTGGGCCTCGGCTTGGGCTGATTGCCAAGTTCAGCCTGACAGGACATCAGAGTGACCTTCTGTCAGGTTTTCACTGCTGTCTCCATGGGGTGGTCCCCAGTTCTGAGAAGCACCAGGCTTTCAGAGCTACATATTTTGATAAAGAGCATGTTTCACTGTTTTACTTCCAGGTCAGTTCATAGTCTTAGTTCTTATGCTCAGCCAGTGTTTGGTATTTTAGGTTACGGCGTTGGTAATAGGATCGCATATTGGGGTTTGTGGAGGAAGTAGGCTGCAAACCATAAAAGTTATTTTTATTGGCTGGTCCTCAGCAGGTGAAGGGATTTCTAGTTCTTGGAACTGTGTGGCACTGATAGGTGGACTCCATCCCAAGCCAACAAGCAATCCGGCTAATCAAACATGTCCTCTCTGAAAAGGCTGGAGGCGTGTGCGGCCAGAAGGTCCAGCTCCTGGTGTGAGAAGGGTCTTAGGGGAGTTGGGACCCAGAGGCTCACTCTGGGTTTTCATTGTAACTCACTTGAAAATGATAGGTAACTTTACTAATATAAAGGAAAGCACTGTGTTCTACTGACTTCATTCTAAATTCCTTGTGACTTCTATTTTAGTGTTTAAAAATAAATTTCTCATTAATATTTTTTAGTGTTAACTGGTCCATGGTTGACATTTCCAGATTTACCATTTTTGAACTGCAACTTTTAGTATTCCTTTGTATACATATATCATGGTCTGTTTTGCTATTTTCCTGTGTCGCCAATTCATGTTTTTTCCTTTTTTTAAAAAATCATGATTGTAGGAATGTCACCAAGAACATTTTATACTATTCCTTCTATTGTATGATCCAAAGAGTGGACTTCCCAAGGTCAGGGTTACTTCGTTTGTTAGGTTTTGACTAACTGCTTACCAGGAAGTGTGGGCCAGTTTTCATTTCTTGTGTGTGCTGTGTGTTCTGTGTTAAGATCTGTCTGGCATGGCCGAGAAGACTTGCCCGAGTGTGGCGACGAATCCCGGAGGCTGCAACGATCCCCAGAGCAGCCCAGAGATGAAGCCACATTCCTACCTCGATGCCATCAGGAGTGGCCTTGATGACTTAGAAGCCAGCAGCTCTTGCAGCAGCAGTGAGCAGCAGTTGTGCCCCTACGCGGCTGCGGGCGAGTGCCGCCTTGGGGACGCTTGTGTCTACCTGCATGGGGACATGTGTGACATCTGCAGGTTACGAGTGCTGCACCCCTTCGACCCGGAGCAAAGGAAAGCTCACGAGAAGGTAAAAATGCAGGCCTTTGTGTGAGCTCATTCGAAGAAATTTGAGATGTGCTAAGCGACAAAGTTGTTGGTATTCCTGTAAGCGTCTTTCTGACAATAATCATCTGCAGTGTGTACCTAGCATATTTATACCCTGTTTTCAAGTCCTTTTTCCTGTTGTCATTTTGACAGCCAGGCCGAGTTTTAGAGAATTTGAGGAGCCAAGTATTAGAGGGGACTCTCAGGTCTTTAGGTTCCCGGTGTTCATGGAGGCGCTGCCTCGTGCTCGGCTCTGTGCTCAGTGTAAAGATGGGTAAGAGACAGAGACGAGCCTGCAGCTCCAGCATTAGAGCTTGTGAGGACGAGCAGGCCATGGTGTGCAAAGTGTGGGTGTGGGGGGGGGGTGCGGTCTGCCACTCTCCCTGGTCTTCCCGGGCATGTTCAGGGGAGCACAGGATTAGAGCTTTCCTTTCCACCCAGGTTAGGTGAGGTCTCTGTCCTGTACATGTCGGTTTGGTTCCCATCTGTGTCCACCGTGAGCTCCCAAGGGCAGAGCCTCAGTCTTCATACTCCGCGTTGGCTCTCCTGCTTGATTCACACGCTTCACACGGGAGGTATTCAGCATCCACTTACTGAATGAATAAATCCATTAAATAACTTGTTCTCTTGAGAAGTGGTGCTGCTTACCTCTGACCCCGGACTACCAGCCTGGTATTTCAAGTTAAGTATTCAGTATTTCTGATCTTGGTGTGGTTCAGAGTGGGGAAAGGCAGCGCCCAGAAGAGCCAGGAGATCAGGGTCCCTGTGATCCCACACTGGTCCTCTAATCGTTTGGGACCTCTGGGGTCTCAACTCTAAACTGGGGGTGACCATAACATGCTAGGAAAGCAAGGGGCTGGGCCAGTGATGGTTGGAAGTCTTGTTGTCTGGGAGAGCTTTGTGTCCTGAACGTGGGGGCCGCTGGGCTCTGCCTGTAGCAGTCAGAGCGTGTGTCCTCCCTGATCTTGCCTGTGGCAGTGTGGCCGCGGCTGCCCCCCTGCAGCCCAGACCCTGATAAGTTTCCCTCCCCTCTCTCCATACTTCAGATCTGCATGTCGACATTCGAACACGAGATGGAAAAGGCCTTTGCCTTCCAAGCAAGTCAGGACAAAGTGTGCAGTATCTGCATGGAAGTGGTCCTCGAGAAGGCGTCCGCTTCTGAGAGGCGATTCGGGATTCTCTCCAACTGCAGCCACACGTACTGCCTGTCCTGCATCCGGCAGTGGAGGTGTGCCAAGCAGTTTGAGAACCCAATCATTAAGTAAGTGCAGCTGGGGTCTTCGCTGTGGACGCCACAAAGGAAGTTAGATTTGGGGCCTTCTATCCACGCTTCATCCCTCCCTTTTCCTCCAGGGCAAAGATAGTGTGAATCCTGGCCCCTGACTGCAGGGACCTGGGCGCATCAGGTGGCCTTCTTTAGCTCAAGTGCCTTTTCCTGTAAAATATGGGTAACCAATCCTGTGTGGCTTCCTTAGGGGTGTCTGGGGACACTCAGCAGGGACTGGCTGTGAGAGAGGGTGTTCATGGCACTGGCCTGACTCCTGTCTGCCTTAGGCTGATTACCTCTTGACCTTTTCAGACTCTTTTTCGTATGTAAAATTGGGTTGTTTTTTTTCAGTCAGTTGACTGGCGTTTGGATGGTTTCCTTCCCTGGGTTATAATGAATAATGCTGCGATGATTATGCACGTGCAGGTTGTTATGTGGATGTACATTTTGATTTCTTTTGGGTAGATAGGCAGCAGTGGGATTGCTGGGTCCCAGGGTAACTGTCGAGCATGTTGAGGAACTCCCGGACTGCTCTCCACGGCGGCTGCGCCGGCAACAGATGAGGGCTCCGCTTGCTCCCCTCCCCCTCACTTGTTACTGTCTGTAGTTCTGATTTTATTTTTTTCAGTTTATTTTTGAGAGAAGGAGCACGAGGAGGTAAGGAGCAGAGAGAGAGGAGACCTAGAATCCCAAGCAGTGGGATGTGGGGCTGGAACTCAGGAACCATGAGATCATGACCTGAGCCAAAATCAAGAGTCATATGCTTAACCAACAGAGCTCCCCAGGTGCCCCTGTATTTCTGATTTTAGCCATCCTGGTGGGTATGAAGTGTGATACCTTATGGTTCTGATTTGCATTCCCCTGATAACTAGTGATACTGAGCATCTTTTTCTGTGCTTTTTGGCCATTTTGGACAAATGCCTACTCTCAAATCTTTTGCCCATTTTAAAATTGGGCTTGGGGTTTTGTTTGTTTTGTCAAGATTTTATTTTTAAGTAATCTCTACCCCAAGGTGGGGCTTGAACTCACAGCTGCAAAATCAAGAGTCACTTGCTCTACTGACTGAGCCAGCCAGGCATCCCAAATCTGGTTGTCTTTTTATTGTTGAGAAGGGTATGTTTTTAACAGTAAATAAGGTTCTACACCTGAAGCTAATATTACACTATAGGTTAGTTAACTGTAATTTAAATAAAAACTTGAAAAAAATAGTTCTTTGACGATTGTCATTGCCCTCTTTGGAATTTTGGGGTAGGAAAACATCTGGAGTGGTCATGCACTTGAGCAAGGGGGCCGGCGGTGCAGTGCACACAGGGTTTGTAACTTCATCTCTCCCTAGTAACCTGGTTCTAATTTCAGGTCTTGTCCAGAATGCCGTGTGATATCAGAGTTTGTAATTCCAAGTGTGTACTGGGTAGAAGATCAGAATAAAAAGAACGAGTTGATTGAAGCTTTCAAACAGGGAATGGGGTAAGTACTTTGAGTTCAGCCATGATCCCCGTGCCCGCCTGGCAGATGCACTATTTTTACATACCTTGAACCCCACAGGTAATAATGTAATTTTTTAAAAATTTCAGCTTTGAGGTATAATTAACAAATTTTTAAGATACTTAAAGTGCCATCATGCTGAGTTCATACATACTATGAAAGGACACTTCCATCCAGTTAATTATAACACATTTGTCACCCTTTTTTTGTTTTCATTTTTGAGTGAAAACATCCATGTTCTACTCTTAGCAAATTTCAGTTTTAGAGCATTATGAACTATACTCACCATGTTTTACATGAGATACTTACTCATCATATAGCTGAAGGTTTGTAGTGTTTTACCAACTTTTCCTTATTTACCCTACCCTGGGAACCACTTTTTTACTCTGAGTTTGACTATTTTCATTTGTTTGGGATTTAGATTTCACATATAAGTGATAGAGTATTTGTTTTTCTTTGGTTTATTTCACTTAGCATAATGCCCTCCAGGTCCTGTGTTATCACAAATGGCAAGATACCCTTCATTGTCATGGCTGAATAATACTCTATGTATATTCCACATCTTTTTTATCCATTTGTTGACAGACGATTTGTTGACAGACGCGTTGTTTCTGACTCTTGGCTGTTGTGAATAATGTCACAGCAAACGTAGAAGGGTAGATAGGTATCTCTTCTAACAGCCATGAGGTGATAGCTTACTGTGGTTGTGATTTGCATTTCCCTGATGATTAATAACGTCGGGCACCTTTCCATGTGCCTGTTGAACACTGGTTTGTCTTCTTTGGGGAAAATGTTTATTCCGTTCCTTTGCCCATTTTTATGTGGAATGTGGTTGTTTTTGCTCTTATGTATGAGTTCTTTATAATATTTTCTCCCATTCGGTAGGTTGCCTTTGCATTTTGTTTGGTTTCCTTTGCTGTGCAGAAGCTTTTTAGTTTCATGTAGTCCCACGTGTTTTTGTTTTCATTGCCTTTTTTTTGATGGCAGATCCACAAAGAGTATGGCTAAATACGGTGAACTCCCTATGTTTTCTTCTAGGAGTTTTTATGGCTTCAGGGCTTACATTCAAGTCTTCAGTTTTGAGCTGATTTTTGTGTATGCTGTAAGATAGTGGTCCGGTTTCTGTAACACCTTTTATTGAAGAGCTTGTCCTTTCCCCATTGAATAGCCCTGGTTCCTTTGTCATAACTTAATTGGCCATATGTGTGTGGGCTTATTTCTGGGCCCTCTATTCTGTTTCACTAAACTATGTATGTTTTTATGCTAGTACCAAACTGCTGGGATTACTATAGCTTTGTAGTACAGCTTGAAATCGGGAAATGGGATGCCTTCAGCTAGGTGGTTCTTATGATTGCTTTGGCTATTTGGGGTCTTTCATGCTTCCATACAGATTTTCGGGTGGTTTGTCCTATTTCCGTGAAAAGTAATTTTGCCACTGTAATTTTGATAGGGGTTGCTTTCAATCTACAGATTGCTTTGGGAGTGTAGACATTTTAATGACATTCTTCAATTCATGGGCATGGGATACTTCCTATTTATTTGTGCCTTTGATTTCTTTCATTTTGTCTTAATAGTTTTTTCAGTGTGCAAGTCTATTTCACCTCTGCTAAATTTAGTCCTAGGTATTGTTAATGAGGTTGTTTTCTTAATTTCACTTTCTGGTAGTTCATTTAGTGTATACAAAGCAGATGGATTTTTTTTTTTAAATAGGTTTTGCATATTTTGTATGCTGCAACTTTATAAAACATTTATACTATGTAATATTTACATATGTTAGAAGCCAGCAAGGTAATATGATTTTTGCCTTTTAAAACTTACATTATTTTTTTTAAGAGGAAAAACATTTATATTTACTCAGATATTATTTCAAGTGCTCTTTGATTCGGTTTATAATTCTTTCCAGTTGGTATAATTTCCCTTCAGCCTCAAGAACTGCTTTTAACGTTTGTTGACCTGCTGGTGATGAATTTTTAGTGTTCTTTTTAGCAGAAGTAGCTTTTCTTTTCATTCTTAAAGGGTATTTTCATTGAATGTATTGTTCTGATCGGTCCTATCTCTGTCTTTGTCTTCTCCTGGCAGTTAATACAATTCTGGGTTAATAGTTTCTTTATTTTCTTTTAGTACTTTGCAAATGCTGTTCCACTATATTCTGGCCTCTAGTTTCGGAGAAGTCTGGTCATTCACACTGTAATGTGTCATTTCTCTAGGGCTGCTTTCAAGATTGTCTCACTTCTTTGGTTTTCAACAGTTTGCTCTTTTGTTGGGAGTGATTTTCTTCATATTGTACTATGTATTTGCCTCTGAGTCTGTAAGGTTTTGTCATCCACCAAATTTAGGGACATTTTGGCCATCATATTTTTTCCCTGCCCTGTTTCGTCTTCTCCTGAAACTCTTAATTACATGTGATAGACTTTTTGATATTACCCCAGTGAGTGTTGCGGTCTGTTCATTTCTTTCCAATTTTTTTTTTTAATGTTTATTTGTGAGAGAGTGAGTGTGAGCAGGGGAAGGGCAGAGGTGGGGAGACACAGAATCCAAGCAGGCTCCAAGCTGCCCGCACAGAGCCTGACATAGAGCTCGAACTCGTAAACTGTGAGATCATGACCTGAGCCGCGGTCGGATGCTTAGCTGACTGAGCCACCGAGGTGCCTCTCTTTCTGTTTTTTTTCCTCACTGTTCATCTTCTCCAGTAGTAGCTGCTTTGAACTCCTTGTCATCTTGAAGTTGGTTTCTGGGCCGCATTTTCCTTATTCTTCATATGTTGACTCATTCCGGATCACAGCCTGGACACTGCCGGCATTACCTTGTAGACACTCTGGGTTGGCTGAGGTCAGACAATAAAATGTTGTTTTTCTGTTGCAAGTAAAGTGTTTAAACTCCAGGTCTTGGGCAACAGTTTTTTAAGTTTATGTATTTATTTTGAGAGAGAGAGAGAGAGAGAATGCCAGTGTGGGAGGGGCAGAGAGCGAGGAGAGAGTAAGAATCCCAAGCAGCCTCTACACTGACTGCACGGAGCCCAGCACAGACCGTGAGATCATGACCTGAGCCAAAGTCAGACACTTAACTGACTGAGCCACCCAGGCGCCCCTTGGGCAACATTTCTAAGCTCAGCTAAGAGCTATTTTTTCTTCAAAAGAAGAAAAAAAATGCCTTTTGCCATTTTGTTCTTCCTGGTGCCTAATTTCTTGGGGATCCTCGTGCTGCCTTCAGGTTTTTAAAAAAAAATTTATTGCTAGTTACCTGGAGAAGGGTCAGTCTGGTAGAAGTGTGCTTGGCCGTACTAAACTGCAGGGCACCATGTCACCTTTCTTCATGGTTCCTTCAGATTGCCTGTCAGTCACTAACAGCTTGTCATTTTCCTCCTTACTGGTCCCCACGCATGTGGTGTTGTGTGTCCACCAGAGGGCGGGAGTGGCACAGCCAGAGGGGCTGGACCTTAGGAAGCAGCAGGGCCTGAGTTTGTAAATTCTTTTTGCTCTTTGGGTCTTTCTTAGCCTTAGTTTCTGTTGATGGTGGGGTTTTTGTGTGTCCCCCACACACGTAGTGTTCATCTGCTACGGGCCAGGCCCCTTCAAGCTAAGCACCAGTGCAGGACATCAAGTAGAGATTCGTAAGGTAATTTCAATGAAAACTCCAAAAGGGCAATATTGGTGCATGTTTTTTCTGGTGACAGATTCTTAATGAGAGGCCCAGACCATGTGTCACAACAGAGAAAGCATTGGATGCTCCTGGGGGCCTCAGGGAAAGCAGCATGGGGACCCTGCGCCACGACACGTGAATGGCTGTGTGTGTAGGGAGGTGAGGCCGGAGTGGGGTGACAGAATGGTGCACGTGTTGTGACCAGGGAGCAGCGGCCCTGGGGTTGAAAGGTGTGTAGACGACATGGTAGCACCTGCAGGGACAGAGACTGGAGTGGAATCTCGGGGGCAGAACAAGTGACACGCTGTGTGGCATGCTCCGCGGTCACAGTGTGAAGAGGCTGGCACCTGGTGGGATGGCGGCCAATTAGGAAACGACTGTGGCAGGTGGGTAGCAGAGGACCGCACCCCCGGTGGCTCCAGCGGTGTGGGGGCGGAAGGAGGAGTAACAGCTGGGAGAGCTGAGGACAGAGACAGAGTACACGGTCCTTGGTGACCAGGTAAGGAAAAAGCAGCTATACAGGGGGCACGACTAGAGAATCCGCTTTTGAACCTGTTGAGTTTATGAAAGCCGGCGTCCAGCAGGCCGTTGCGAACTCAGCCCCCGAGCGGTCATTTGAAGATCTGCTCAGAGCCTCGGGCGTGGAGGCCGCGGCAGGACTGTGCCCGCACCGGGGTCACACCTGCTGGGAGCAGGCGCCCAGGGGAGCGCGGTGCTCCTTCCTTCAGTGGACAGTCATGAGGGAGCTTTCTCTGTGCCGCTCTGAGGTCTCAGAGACCCTCACCACCGGTCTCTGCCGGCCCCTTGTCTGAGGAGACAGACCCTGGTGTCAAGGAGTCTCCCTTCTTTGTCATCAGCCACGGTCACGTACGCCAAGCGCCCCTGGTAGCAGCCTGCCCTTTCTGCGGGGATTTGGCATTCTCCACGCAACTTCCCTTCCTCACACTTCCAGATGCCCTCTTCCCTTTTGGGGGCGTCTCCACCTCTTCTGCACTGTGGGACCATTTCATTATATACGCCAGATTTCATGTAAGCAAGAAGAAATGCGAACTCTCTTTGTTGTGTTTTTCCTGAGGAGCAGGTGTTCTTAAATGTAAGGGTCTATAGGTAGGAGGATTTGAAGATGGGGGGAAAATGAACTTTTTGCTTTGTTTTTTTAGACCTGTGCATTTTATTTTATCCATTTACAAAACATTATCCTGGGAAGGGCTCCACAGAGTTAACATAACACAGAGTTAAGCCCTGCTCTAGATGCAGAGGGCGGGGACCAGGGGAACTTGTAATGAGACCCGTAACTTTGGGCAGCTGCTGAAATTCCCTGCTTTTCCTGAGCCTCCTCAGTCCAGGCTCCCAGGGTCACTTGACATCACTGCTGGCTCAGAAGAAGGGAAGTTTCCCTGGGGTGCTCCTGCTGGGACTTTGAGGGGAGCAGAGTAGCCCAGACAGCCGGCTCCGAGGAGCCCTCGGGCCTGTCCTCCCCCCAAAGGCCTTTCTGGAGCATTGCAAGCTCCGAACAGTGGGGTCCCCCATGCAGGTTCAGTTCTGTGCGAGGCCACATGTTGCAAGTGGCAGCAGTCAGCATCCTGAGCCTCAGTTTCCCCACCTATGGGTAAGGCTCACCTAGCTCTGGCATCGTGGGCAGGAATGGAAGAAGACCTTGGTTCACGTGGGGCCCGGGCGTTCCCACCATCCTCTTGACTTTTTCTTTCTGCTTTTCAGGAAAAAAGCTTGTAAATACTTTGAGCAAGGCAAAGGCACCTGCCCATTTGGAAGCAAATGCCTTTACCGTCATGCTTACCCTGACGGGCGGCTGGCAGAGCCCGAGAAGCCTCGGAAGCAGCTCAGTTCTGAGGGCACTGTGAGGGTAAGGACTTTGCCGTCTCTGGCAAGGACGCTTACGTGGTGGCATTTCTGGGTACTCCTCCTGGGCCCTTCTCCGATAGCTTTGGCAGCAGGGAACGGGGTAAGGAAAAGGAAAACAGAGCATCTGGCCCTCACGTTACCATTAGTAACAACCGGGCATGTTCGCTGGCTCTTTTCGCAGTTCTTCAATTCAGTGCGACTCTGGGATTTCATCGAGAACCGGGAAAGCCGGCACGTCCCCAGTACTGAAGATGTCGACATGACAGAGCTTGGGGACCTCTTCATGCACCTGTCTGGAGTGGAGTCGTCAGAACCCTAAGGAGTAGACGGTTACCCCTGCAACTTGGGCTCTGCCGGCCGAGCCTTCCTCAAGCTAGGGTGTGCGGAGTGGCCTTCGCTGCGACCTGAGGTGGTGTGTTGCTTGAATTTGAGTGGGGATGTAGCTGACCTCGGTCTCATCCACTCCATTATTACAGCCGTGGGAGGAGTGAAGGATATAAAATAACCCAACGAGTATATGGAATCGCTACTTCTATAGTTGATCTCTTTAGCTGCACCTCAAGCTCCTCAGGGGGACCGGCTGACCAGCCAGATGGCGTTTTGATTGATTGCTTTTAAAAGCAACCTGGCTCCCGTCCTCCTTGAGCTTTAGCTCCCTAGAAACAGTCCCCGTGCAGATTCCTTTTTCTTAACAAAGGACCTTCCCCCCTATAAAACGATCCTCTCCAGTGGATTTCCCTAGTGTACTTACTGTGTAGTCAAAAACCGTTTCTTGGAAAGCTCTGTATAAATCAACAAGAGGGCACCACACAGCTTAGCATAAACTTGTGCCCTTCAGTGTCCCAGATCAGAGCAGGAGTCCTGTTGCCGTGTGTTCTGTAAACTCCCTGGAAGGAGGGGGCTCTTGAAGTAGCAGGCACCCATTGCTGGTTGGTGTTGGGGCCACGTGCTCCAGGGAAACTCGTCCCCGCCTGTCACCTGTGGGCCTTCCTGGGGCTGTCTTTGGGCTCCCGCCCCAAGGGTAATTTAGCAGAGTTCAGCATGCACACATGCTCTTCTGTGTGGCCCCTGCTCGAAGCCACATGTTCTGTCTGGAAGCCTGGCTTTGATTTGAAATTTTATAAAAAGTTAAATGGCACCTGGCAGTTTCTAGTTCTGACCCGGCAGTCGTCCTGAACAGAACAAGTCATCTGTCGTCAGTGGTGACTTTAATTGAAAGAACATAATTTTGTGAATCAGAACAAATTTGCCCCAACCCTTAATCTATTTTTATAAATAGCTATAGACACCAAATATTTTATAAAATGCATTAAAGTATAGGTAGAAAAAGGTCTGCTCTTACCTGAGTTTAGAGTGCTTGCTTTTTGCATTTTTTATAGTTAACTCTAGTGAAGGGTGCCAGCACAAAGACTGAATTAGGTTCCTTCCCAGTGGAGGCTCTGGGCCTGTTTCCTGCTGCTTGAGTTCTTGTTCCAGGAGGATGAACAAATGGGAGAGTTCAAGCTGTGAGCTCAGTATTACTTTACTTTAAAAGGGAAGAAACAGCCATTAAACCTACATTTAATTTATTTTATTAAAATAACATAATTGAGGAACCATCAGATAACTGTATTTTGTCAGGCGCAATAAAAACAAAATTAAAACCCAAATCATCAAGAAAACCTGTATTCCTGGCTTCCTTGCATACACGTGCTGTGACCGCTGTGACCAAAGAGCAGGGCTGGCCCGGCGGCCCCGCCCCATGGGGGCAGCTCCTGGAAGACGGATTCAGCATGATGGCAGGCTGCTCCCTGAGAGGGCGGAGACTGGGAGGGGCAGGCCAAGTGCCTCTTCCGGAAAACCGTCCCAATGCACTGGGGGCCTCCAAGGAAAGGAAGTGCCCCCGAAGTCAAGGTCCATAGTACCAACGCAGGCTCCTTCAGGCGGCCGTGGTCTCGACAGTCCTGGGGTGTTTGGTGCATTATGTGCAAAACTACCTGTTTGGCGCCACACCGCTAGCTCTGAAGAACAGTCCTTCCCGTGCTAAGCATTCCACATAGGTGCTGATACCCCAAATCCATGTGTCCACATCAGGGCTGGTTTGTCTGCTACCTTCATTTCCCCTCTGAGTGCTTTTTCTTGCCCTAAAAATACTCATTTAGCCAGTAGCTGGAGCCCCAGATCATGTATTGCCAACTGCAGCCACTGTGCATCTGGAGAAGGCTTGGCTCATGAGCATTGGGGGGGAGGGGGAGGGGGGGGCGCTGCAGGGAGGAAGCAGGACAAACCAGCATTGCAAATGGCTTCCTTCTCCCAGGGCCAGAAAGGGTAGAAAAGAAGGCAACATGAAGTTAAGGCCCTGTGAGTAGTCTAGAAGGTCCTTAGCAGCAGCTTCTTCTCTGAAAAGGAGCTCTCTGCCTCCATCAAGAGGGTGCAGAAAGGTGGTGCCTGCTGACTTCCCTTCTCCCCTGGTGGCCTGAGTGCAGGTGCAAAGTCAGCTAGAAGGCTGGCAGTCTAGGGGACGTGGTCAACGTGCAGGCGTTGATGTCCTCAGTGTGGGCCGCCCGGTGCAGGGAGGGCTCCGAAGCACTCCGGTTGATTTTCGGCAGAGAGTGTTGGAGAAGCTCGATGGAAGACAGGATCTAAAGCGAATCAGTGTCATTAGGTGGGCTTGGTGTCGGAGCAGAAGCGGCAGCTTTCAAAGAGGAGTCCAAACACAGGCCCCCACCCCACCTGCAGCATCGGGTGCTGAGCAGGAGCCCTGTCCTAGAGGAAGCCCACACGGCCCACCCTCAGGTCTAACATCAGGAAGTGCGGCTAGAATCCGTTCCGGTGCCCTTGAGCCGAGTCTTACCTGGGGAAAAAGAGGCCTCTCTTCCTTAACCTTCTTCACACAGTCGGCTACAAGCCTCTTCATTGCTTTGGGGCAGTTCTTATATAGCTTACTGAGGTCAGGGGAGGCATAGCCTCGGCCCACCATGAAGATGATCTAAGAGGAAGGAAACGGTTGAGGGACTGCGCAGGGGAACAACAGGGACAGCAGCAGCTTCTAACCCTCCTACTCAGACTGGCTGGAGGCCCAGGGGCCTCCACGGCCGAACCCCGGCCTTCGGCACCAGCACACCTACCTGATCGCGGTTATTGATGTGGGAGTAAGGAAGCTCCCCCGTCATGAGCTCATAGAGCACAATGCCGTAGGAGTAGACATCGGACTGGAAGCTGAACGGGTTGTTATCCTGCATTCGGATCACCTCGGGGGCCTGCAGGGACAAAATGCACGCATTTGTCACCATGCGGGCCCCACACACGTCAGGCGCCAGGCTGCCCCTTCCCCTGGGGGGAGACGGTCCTTTTCCTCCAGTTCTGCACCTCTTCCCACCCCGGTTCACACCAGATCGGGCAGCCCAGTCTCGGGCCCGGCGCCGATGCCTCGGCCGGGTTCTGACCACTAGCCTCCAGGAAACCCCAACTGACGTCACTGAAGGCCTCCCTGAGGTATCTGGACTTTGGGGAAATGTCGAGAAATGCTGTAAGTTTACACGCAGACCTCCGGGGCACCCCCTCCACCCTGCCCTCTGCTAGTGGGAGCCTCGCCTCCTCACCATCCACAGGACGGAGCCAGTGGGTTGTTCGACCTGCTGAGAACCGCTCCAGCGCGACTTTACTGTTGCCAAACCAAAATCTCCGATTTTCACCGTCAGGCCTTCATGGAGAAATATATCTCAATGCTTGTTAAGGACTCTGGTTTCAAAACAACGGTCAATTCTGAACTACTTCCCAAAGGTCTTAAGAGCATTTCTCTGCCCCGCGAACCCGGCCCCAGCCCCCGCCTGCCCCAGGCTGCTTGGCCTGATTTGCTTGGATTTCTGCAGTTTTAAAATGTGCTTCCGAAAGGCTTTTCTTCCAGGAGGCAGGCGGCAGTTGTTCAGGGTGCAAGATGGTCTGGCTGCAGCCAAAAATAAGGCCATTTCCCTGTGCCGCTTCTCCCCATCTCCACATCCACGTGCCAGGTCTCTGGCCTTCTGACCCTCCCGTGTGACACAGGTGCCTTAAGCCCAAAGATTTCCCAGAGAATGGGCTGCCATCTGCGGCTTCTTAGCAGAAGCCAAATGTGATGCCTCACATTTGTGTCTACCTGCTCTGTGCCCTCAAATGACTGAAACGTGAACAGCAATTCAGCATTCACTAAGCACTAAATGTTGTCCAGAGATTTCTCACTAGAACAGATGCCCCTGAGGACTTCAAAACAGAACCATACTCACACCACTTCTGGGTAAAGAGGTCAGGCAGTTTAAGGCTGACCTGTGATCTGCCAATGCCCAGTAATGCACACCACCACCAAATATGTGCTGTCTACTCACTTCCAAAAACCCGTCATTAAAAGGTATCTCATAGGGGCATCTGGGTGGCTCGGTTAAGCATCCGACTTCAGCTCAGGTCATGACCTCACGGTTCCTGAGTTGGAGCCCCGCGTCAGGCTCTGTGCTGACAGCTGGGAGCCTGGAGCCTGCTTCGGATTCTGTGTCTCCTCTCTCTCTGCCCCCTCCCCTGCTTGTGCTCTCTGTCTCTCAAAAATGAATAAATGTTTAAAAAAAAAAAAAAAAGGTATCTCATGCCTCAGACATGTGGCCCTAAGAGGCATGTCCCATAATCCGACTCGATGACTGTTGTGCCTCTCACTGGCCAAGCAGCAGAGTGGGCTGTAGCGCCACACACTCCCTTCCAAGACGCAGGCTGCAGGCCGGAGGCAGATGTGTAAATGTTACGTGTCCTGCCCTGTGGCATGAAAACTCTCCAGTCTTCATTCTCCTTCTACAAAATCTTATTAAGTCTCAGGAAGGGGAAGGGCTGGTTCCACCAGTGAGTGTGACACACTGGTCGCTTTGACAATCCTGCAGCATCTGGCCTGCACCCTTCTGACCAGATACACACAGTCCACACCCTAGAGATGAACATGACAGACAAAAACCCCATTCCTCCAGGTTAAATTTAGTAGCGAGCAGCATAATAAAACTTTTCAAGCATAACCCAAACACGGCTCTCTTGTGGAAAACTTTCCAAAGTCACTTTTACTGAGATAAGCTTTAAAAGTCTCCCTTCTATTTTCCTAAGTCTAGAAATGGAATAACCATCAAAGGATACTGTTGGATTTCATGTCTCTGTGGATGATGTTCTTTGCATGCAAATAGCTGTGAAGGGAAAATAAGTCTATTAAAACCAGTTATCTAAGGGACATGGGTAGAAAGCAGCTTCACATTACGGCTAGGAAGGAAGCCACCTGGCTGCCTGACGCCCAGCGAGGGCCACGTGCAGGGACCGGCCACGTGGGGATGCAGACAGAGCCATGTCACACATTGCCTGGAGGTGAGGTCACAGCACGAACGGGGAGACTCTTCTTTAAGCATCCGTTCTACTCACAAAAGTAATTCTGACGACCCGCAGGCCCATCCCATAATGAATGCCTGAACGAAACGGCCCACCCACCCCACAGTATATTCGGCCACAGAAAAGAATAGAGTGATATGTGCAACAATGTGGATGAACCTCCAAACTGTTATGCTAAGTCGAGTGAGACACAAAGATGAGAGCTCATCTTCTATCTTGACGGCTGTTCTAAGATTACACAGTGGTCAGGCTGCACAACTCCGCATTGTACACATTTAAGGGGTGAATTCTGTTATCTGTGGATTATATCTATAATTTTTTTCTAAAAAGTAATTATTTCTTAAAATGTACAAAATGCAAATTCCATTTGAGGTGTAAAAGCAGGACATGAGGTTTTACATGGCAGCTGCAAGCGTGGCTTTAGCTTAAGCCCCCAGACTTCCAGGGCTGTGAACTCTCCCCCTCTCACGTCAGGAATACCGTGGAGGAAAAGCGTGACACACACCCACCACAGCCCCCTTTCAGAGAGAAATGTGTTCAAGCAGAGACTCAAACAGGTAGTGTTTCATGGAGGTGCGAGGGATGACTTTTAAGCCTCCTCTAAAAGGAAAATAAATTACCCAAAAACCTCTGCTCAGACCCTGGTGTGGAACAGGCCCGCCGCCGAGGGCCACGCCTGAGACCGCGCGCCCACAGAGGGCGGTGCATGGCTGTCCGAGCAGAAGGTGCTGGCTGAGCCCACACTGCCGAGCTTTTGGGAACCTAGGTGAACTCTCCGGGCAGTGGCTCAAACCTGAATCTGAGCCCCAAGGGGAGCAGCCTCAGCTCACGTGACCCGGAGCACACCTGCCTTCGGCCCACTCCAGAGGCTGACTCTCAGCTGTGCAACATCACGGAAATCACTTAAGAGACTTGGCTTTCTCCTAACCCAGGCTCCGATGTAGGGCAAGTTGATGCCTGGACCCCAGACTTCGGAGTCGACAAGCCTTCTACTCACTCCATTCCCTGAGCGGTCTGGCGGGCGATGTCAATCAACTGGAACATCTGGAACTTGGTCTCCTGGACATGCAGGTGTTTGTAGAGGCTGCTGCCCTCGCACCACTGGGTCACAATCGCCAGGTTGTCCTTTGTCATGTACCCCATGAAGAGCAGGATGTTCACATGCCGTGTTTTGCTGGAGGAGGGAGGAGAAAAAAGGGCTCTGAATCTTCCACTGCTGCAAAGAGCTCTACTCTTGCTTTCCCACCGACACTGGATCCCGAGTGTCCTCGACGCCACCATGCTTACCATCTGGGTG